ACCGTGGAGATCTATCGAACTGTAACGCATAGAACGTTGAAAAAGCGTCTTCTCTTTAAGCCGTTCAATCTCCACGCGCTTGACCCCTTTAGCGCGTGTGTTTCAACCGCTCGCACCCGCTTCCGGTATTTTACGTTTCGTTGGTTTTATAAATTTCTCGTGGTCCTCTTCTATCAATTTTCCGGTTAGCTAAGCTTAGTGTATATCCAGATGGACCAGAGAATTAATGGGCCTTGTTACATTTGTTTCCGGCCCAAACGTGTTATATCGTGATTTAGCTGATGGATCCGAAATCGGAGTCGGGTCCGTACCCGCTGCTAAAGAGGTATCCACTTCGAGGTCACACACTGCGAAAGAAGGGTTTTGAGGGTTTTCAACTTTGCTCTTTCCTCGTCAGTTTCTTCTTCTTCAGCTCCAAAGATGAAGCTCGTCAGGTACTGCTTCAGTTTCTGTGATTCTTTATCTATCAATTTCATGTTGTTGTTGATTTTAGTTTCTTCCGAGTATGGAATCCATTCCCATTCTTTAGCGTCTGAGCTGATTTTGTGGTTTTCTGGATTTTGTTTGATCGGATCGAGTAGGTTTTTGATGAAGTTGAACAATGAAACTGTGTCGATCGAGCTGAAGAACGGGACTGTGGTCCATGGAACCATCACTGGTAAGTTCTGCATTTTTAGCTTCCGATTTCTTTGTAGATCTTCTCACCTTTCTTCTCTCGATTTCTCCGTTTCTAGGTCTAGTCGCTGTTACTGATACTAGTCGAGATAATTTCAGTTTGATCCATTGGCCATAATCACATTGGTTGGTTGAGAAAACACACAATTAGATTTCACTTGGCAAAAGTATATTTATTGAAGTTAAAGGTCGATGATTTTGGGCAGGTGTTGATGTGAGCATGAACACTCACTTGAAGACAGTTAAAATGAGTCTGAAGGGGAAAAACCCAGTAACATTGGATCATCTAAGCTTGAGGGGTAACAATATCCGCTACTACATTCTTCCTGATAGCTTAAACTTGGAGACATTACTTGTGGAAGACACTCCTAGAGTTAAACCTAAGAAGCCTATTGCTKGTAATGCTTCATTCATTTGGATGTTATTAAGATTCGTCTTCATAAGTCTCATTTATAGATACATTTATTCTTTCTTTCTTTCTTCTTTAGGAAAACCTGTTGGACGCGGTCGTGGGCGTGGGCGTGGCAGCGCCAGAGGCAGAGGCAGAGGTCGTTAGATGTAGCAATGCACTGGAAAGGCTTAAGGTGAGTGAGTTGAATTTCTAGGAAGAGGAACCCATGGTGTCTCGGTTTGTAGGAGAATGTTGCATCAAGCAACTGTTGCAAAAGGAACATCTGATTAAGAAATTAATATGATTGATGCTCGTAAGGAAGTTATATTGTAATGGGATTCCATGGATAAGAGGATTTTTCATGTTAGAAGAGCATGTACAAGTAGAGAATATGCATGGTTTTATTCATGTTGACAAATCTGACTATCAAAAGGCATTAACATGTTGACACTCTTAGTATAGAATAACTATTATTTCCTCCGTTAGTCTTCCACTTGAAACCCGTCTCACAGGATCGTGCATTTTGGTTCCTGATTGTAGACGGGTTCCCCGATATAGTTGTAGGGATCACTCGGGTGGGGATAGGAAGATGGCACACCATCTCCTTGAGGCCAAGGTTGATAACATGGTTGATAACATGGTGGATAATATGGTGGATAACATGGCTCGGGTTTTTTCTCCTCAGTTTTCTTCTCATCGGGTTTCTTGTCATCTGGCTTTTTGTCTCCATCGGGTTTCTTCGGTGGTTCAACTTTGGTTACGCTTACAAGCTCCGCAAAGGCTACTCTTTTCCTTAGTGTGCTGGTTAGACAGATCATATCGACTTCGACACCAGTCACCTCAATCTGGTTCCTGTGATCTCCCTTTATTTCCACAGCTGACACGCCTATAAACCATTCCAATTAACGCTTTAGATTCAACAACAATTACGAAAATCGGTTTCCCTTGGGTTTGTATCTTTGTTACCTTTAAACTGAACCGCGCTTTTCATTGCTTTTGCTCGGGTTGTATCATCAGTCATAGCAACTCTTATCAGGATCTTTTGCTGCATACAAAAAGAAAACCTCTTAACATCACAAGAAAAATCCCTCTCCATCACACACACCCAAGAACATCGAAGTTATTAGTACTTCTTGATGAGCAAACAAACATATAACTTACCTTCATGTTCTTGTCTTCTTAACGACTGGTTTTGTGGATGATTAGAGGTGTTTTGCGTTGAATGTTTGATGGGAATTTTTGCTCAGAAGTCTTCTTTAAATCACAAATGTGATGAAATATAAACAAGGGTTGATTATATATATTTTTTTTATTTGTTCAATGAGTCATTGTCATGCACCAACGGGGTCGGATCGTTCGAATTTCGTTTTCATAACGTTCCGGACGTGGTTTTATTGGTATAGTTGCCGCTACGTACAAGCTTATTGTCAATTCTTTAATTTTGTTAGATTATTATAAAAATCGTCATTTGATTGGGTCAAAAAATTAATTGAAATAATGATAACCCAATTAATATTTTGAAAACATACCGTCTTTTGA